TTAATATTATAATAACTATTTTAATATTTTAAATACATATTATCCATATATTTAAAAACAAAAATGTGTTTTAATGATTTTATTTAAAAAAAATATTATTTAAATTTAAAAAAAAAATAATAATTTATAAATCGAATAAAAAATATCATGCAGCTCTCAATCTTTTTTAAAATTCAACAGTCCCACCTGAGATTTAAAGGAATCGGTAGGTAGAAAGCGGAAAAAGCGGTAGAAAGCTGGTAGAAAGCGGAGACCCTAACCATCACACCACGATTACACCTAAGTCCGAAGGTTTTTGTTAGTTTAGAAGTAAATATACTACGATTTTAATGGGCAAATTTTTCCTTAGGGGCATAGGTGGTTAATTTTTACCCTATCCAAGGTTATCAAACTTGCTCTTCAATTAAGCCTAATTTTGTTTTAATAGGAATTTTCGCAATGAATACTTCCCTTGTTAGTGAACGTGCAGTTAAAAATGCAAGTAAACATATATGTAAACTTACTATAGGTAGAGATTTTTTAGAAATCGCCTATCTTCTTACAAAAAACCTTTATTTCTTATTCAACATATATAAAAAAAAATGCGCGCAACGTTACTGCACGCTTCTTAGTAAACATACAAAAAAAAAGCGTTTTTAATGCTTTTATCAGATTCTTAGCTTGTTAATTATTTAATTCTATGTGTTTTTGCTAAGTGTAACGCAGTAACGTTACTTAAAAGGAAATGGTATCGATTACTAGAAATGGTTATGTAAAAAAAGAAAGAAAGAAGAAAAATAGCTTTCAAATGTTTAAAGGTATTCCAATTTTGTTTACCAAAACAATTTTCTCACTAAAAACTACCTTTTTTAAACACTTACAGTAGTTCCATTGACCACATCCTTCGGTTATTTACCTTTTAACAATTACTTTTCAATTACAATGGTTATCTATCACTTAACAATCTATATTCCCAAATTTCTTAAATTATAAATCATGTTTATTTCTCTACTGAATATATTTTCCCATCTAAGAAATTTATAGTTTTAAAATTAATATGTATTTTACTTTATCAGAAGTTTGTTATTTTTCTAAAATATTATAACAAACATATCCTTAAATACGCTTTGTTCGATTTTTAAACCGAAACATTCAAAGAAGATACAAAAAGACTTTTTTATTTAATATTTCCGCTTCCGCTTAATGGGTTTAAAACATTTTTACCTTTCTCTTATTTTTCCTTTTCTCACTGCAGCTTAATACAACGATGTAATTACCCATAAATCTCAAACAAGAAAAAAAAAGCATCGAGTCAATTTTCTATATAAATAAAAAAGTGCTTATACGTGGTTTTAAGTTCCTTACTTGACAATTTTCTTGACACAGACAAAATAGGATGATGTCAAAAAAAAAGTAAAGAAAACACGATGCATATGTCGGCAGTTTCGCAGCTTGAAAATGATTTTCTTATTCCCCGAGCTTCAGGTTATGTTTTCTGGAGGCTTTGAAAAAAGGAAAAGTAAAAACATTCTCCGCATTGAAATGTTTCTTTTCCGACCCTTAAGCTGACGGAGATTTTTCTACCTTGTACCTTGCTCAAGAAATGGCTTTTTTTAAAATTTATTTTTATCGATCAAAACTAACAGCCGTGTCATTGTAGCTTGTCATTGTTTGCCAAACTTGGCGAAACAATGTTCATTCATGTTTAGAGAAAAGAAAAACGATTGAGTGTCATTATTTCATCTACATCTGTTTAACCTAGAACCTCGATGACAAACATCTGAAAGCAATACAAAACAACTATTTTTCCCAATTTATAATATTCATATGATGGTTTATTAATTTCTTTAAGGGACTGTGTAAATATATATTTTTAATCTTTTTCAAAAATATAAATTTCTTTCTTCCTGTCGTTACTAAAGAGCAATCTATGCATTATTCCATAGTTCAGTTTTCTACTACATTTTTATTATTGTTTTATTTCTGTATGCAATGTGGTTGTTGTGGCAATTGTTAATATATGTGCTGTTATCAACTATATGTACCAAGTCTTCCCTAGGTGACCAACTGCTCTGACATTTAAATCTTTAAATTTAATTTCAAAATTAAAAATTTAACCAAACCCCAATCAAATTTGCATGAATAAATCATCCATAAGCATTGCAGAATGATTGTAGCAATATGTGAAAAAACAACATGTTATCTTTGCCAGTATTCATAAGTTCTTCTGGAACATTTTAACCTGAAACAATGCAATATGCTTAAAATATTCATAATACAGCTTTACAGAACATAAAATTACATCTATCACATATACATATCAAATGTACATACATATTGCATACATATACATACATATTATTTAAATATTGTAAAAATCATAGTCTACGGGTACCGATATACGGTACAACAAGCATACAATTCTAACTCTTTTAGGCCTAAGAGAAATAAATTACACTATCATTTTTTTTTTAAATAAGCATTTTATCTTACAATAAAATCTGATTACGCATCTACCATAGCTCTATTTTTAAGTGTAAATTCTATGGAGTTAAATTTTACAATCAAATAAATTAAAAAACTAAAAAAATCAAAAAGATTTCTCGAACACATTTCTGGAAAAGCTGATATGATCATCAACCAGCAGGTAACACATGTTGTTACAGGTATAAACTGCATGTACTGAAATCTCTTTAGCCACAAGTGGTGGGTACACTATAAAACATTCCATACCAAATTACGGTATAAATACCGACTTATTGGATGCATCATCCGAAAAAGCTATTTAACCTAAAATTCATTTTTACCGTAAAATATTACACCGCAATGTAAACAGTACTAATATTTAATTAGAGTGATTCAGTGATTTTGCGGTAAATATTACTGTAACAATTATGGTATATCAGATTATTTGTTCCATATCACGTTTAGGTGAAAATGGACTTTACGGTGAAAAGTAACGGTTAAAAAATTAAGGGTAAAAGTAAAAAGTTACGGTAAAAGTAAAAATTTACTGCAAAAAGTAAATTTCTTACTGTGTTGTGACCAAATTTGTTAAGAACGATAAAATGTGATAGAAAACAAAGTCGATAGTGATAAAATAAATATAGATAAACTATTATAAATAGTTATTTATAAAATATATTTGGATAAAAATAATATGGATAATGATAAATAATTTCATAGTCTCCCCTGGTTAATTAAGATGTAAAGTGCTTATCAACCTATAATATATATATATATATATATATATATANTATATATATATATATATTAAATACCTTTTTAAGGAATTAATTCTTCCACCATAGTAATATTTATTTAAGGTTTTCAGGATTTGATTCCTTGCCAGTTTTTCTTTCCCTTTAAAACAGTACTAAGTTTTAACTTCGCCTAATAGTTTTTCTCCCGACGTCTTTTGAGTAGTAAATGTTAAATTACTCAAGTGAAAGACTTAAAATGTCTTAATTAAAAGTCTCCTTACTCATTTCATAAGCAATTCTGGTAGTTCAGACAATTTGAATTTAATATTCTTGACTGCAAGTTTATTTCCTTATGTATTATATTAAACTACGAGTACCATGCTAATATAGAAACAGAACGATAACTGTTATAATTATCTTGAAATAATGCATGATCTAAACAAACTCTTTGAAACGCAAAATGATATGCGTATTCTGTTGTATTATATTAGTTTAATATCAATTTCGAAATTTTTTACAATCCATAGTTTTGGAAGCTTGTTAATGTCTGTTTATGTACTCACTTCATTCAAAATAATAATAAAAATTGAACTCAATTTTATTTGTTGATTTGTGAGTTCTGCATTTAAATTAAGAATACTATAAGTTATTCATTGAAAGAAGAGCGGAATTAAAATATTATCCTTAGCTGTTATGTGAATGAATACCCGAATGAAAGTTTTAAAATTCCTTAATTAAAACAATTTTAAATTATTTTACAAGTAATTCAAGCAGCTCAGACAATTAAAAATTATATTCTTGACTTGCATTTTATTCCCTCGTGTGTAATGTTTTATAACCTTTGCTGTTTTATTCACTAACGTATATCCATAAACAAACCCATTTTAATACATCTAATAGTAAACAAATATATATAATCTGTATAACATATCTATCAAGAGCCTTGGTTTTTCAGGTGGTAGAGCACTTGTCTCCCAAAAAAGGTGACCCTTAGAATTCCAGCGTGGGCGAGTTGATACGAATTCAGCACCCGTCTCGTACCGACCACAGTGATGTAAAGTATTCTCAGTCGTAAACGCATCATGGTTTAGAGTTTTTTTTTTTTCGTTTAGCCAACTATGGGAAGCTTTAGTGCTTTTCCTCTCCATGTAACGAAATTGCGAATTAGTTCCATCAAAAAGCCAGACACGTTGGTAAATTTCGTCCAAATACTTTATCCAGGAGTTCCCTTGACTACGGAATTGAGTTTAAAATCACATGACTACGGAGTTGAACATTGGTAATCATAAGCTCAAAACTGGCTTTTCAACGATGGTAATAAAATATATCTATGAAAAAAACTTCCTTGCTTAACAATAGAGAAAACGGATCTGATTATTTGGTCTGTTGTGAATCTAAGTTTCTTGTAGAAATCACTCCCAGAAATAAATTAATATATACAAATTTTCTACATAAAAATAAATTTATGAGTAATGTTTAGATTTTCATATCTATCATTTACAATAAAGAAATATGTCATATTTCATTAAAATGGATCGATTGAAAGTTTTTTTTATCATAAGTGAAAAACACATTAACAGAAAGATAGTTAAGAACAAGGATTTGACATGTGATAATTCTTAGCTCAAAATTTATATGTTTTTTATTTTATTTCTACTAATATTTTTAGTCAAGAGTTGTTGAACTTTCTCTTATTATTTTTAAACAGTTTAGGTTTTTTTAAAATCAAAGCTCTCTTGTATATTCTTAATTTTTCGATCAAATTTCATACTTTGTTTCAAATCGCTAAGATTTATTTTGTTGTTTACCTTCCTGTAGTCGTTCGCAACATGTATCAATACCAGCGTGTTCCAAAGGTCGTTCCTACTCCACTACTTCAATCCCGTCTAGTGCATTTGGGGGTAGACGGAATTCTCGAGATCGAAAAACAGTATGCAGTCTTCATCCTTTGACATCAGCAGAGATAGAAGCCTTTCATGAAGCTCATTCACAAAGTGAAGATGATTTGCGAGTAAGTGGTGTTTCTATATAAATTATAAATGTTTAGAATAATATTAATTCAGCAGTGGATGAATTGAAATTTGTTGAAAGGAATTAAATATTGAAGCAAATTTTCACCAATTTAATGCAATGTAAGAATGGGTCTCAAGCATTAGCGAGGTAAACATTTCAAGGAAAGATGGTTACTCTACTATAATGTATGTAGGAACAGCTATGTGAATATTTCTGAAATCTCGCGCTCCATTCAGAATTACTAAACTGAGTTGTTGCTTAGCAAACAATTTTTCTTAAATTAAAATAATTTTAACAATTTAAATTTCCCACACATGATAAAAAAGAAAGAAATTAAGAACAGAAATGACAGCATTAAATTAAATACTGTTTCATATAAAATTTGATTTATTCTTAGTTATTTGCTATTAAACAATTATTATTTCAATATATATTATGAAATATTTTGATTTAATTTATCTAAAAAAATGGGCCAAATTTGGAGAAATATTATTTTTGCCTCGAATTTATCCCTAATTGTTTTCAATTTTTTCACGAATTTTTAATTAATTTCAATAATTGTTATATTCCATTCAATTATTAAACTGAATTTAAGCAAGTTTCTTAAGCGTACAAACCGATAGTATTAACGGCACAAACATGGAACCTAGATTGCTTTAAAATGGTGAATGGTTAGCTTAAAAAGTTATAGGTCTCCTTGATTTAATTATTTTGTTATGGCCCTAAGCTGTGAGAATTTCGAATGATTATAAACTCTTTCAGTATTGGACAAAACGTTATCTCTTTCAGTAATCACAAAACGTTAATCGAACAGAGTGTAATATTACCTACACAAACATTGGATCTAGATTGTTCCAAAATGGTGAATGATTTATCTATGGTGAAATGGTAAAGTTATGATAAATAATTAGAGTGCTCCTGGATTGAATTCTCTTATTATAAATTTGAACTATCAATTTTTGGAATTCTTAAAACTATTTCAATGTCTGGCCAATCACAAAATTCAGATCAAGGCTTTCGGTATTAACATTGTAGTTAATTTGCTACAAAATGGTGAAAGATTTACCTAAATAATTTGATTATTCCTGGAGGGGATTCTCTTATTTTTAAACCAATATATAAGATTTTCAAAAGATGAAAGCTCTTTTAAGATTGTTCAAATCGTAATCTACCATGTTGTTGAGGTTTTGTGTATTATATATATATANACTTATATATATAATATCCAAAATGCCATGTTTAAGAGAAGTAGGTGACTAAAAAGATATAACATTTTATGAAAAAGTACCGAATGTATATTTTTTATGTTTACTATATTTAAGGGAATAGTTCTTGGTAAGTTAACTTTACTGTCTACTGAAATTTCTTTTATAGCTTTTCCAAACATAAATAATGCTGTAATTCACTTTGAACGTTCTCTTATTTACATTGCCTGAAAGCATGCAGACTCATTTATTGAAGAGTCCCTATATTTTCGTTCCATTGTTTGCCTATGAAATAAACTTAAGAGACATACCATTGCCCCATCGTCTAAATATTTTTCCCTACATGTCTGCTGAGATCTCAAAATAGGGCATAAAACAAAACTCCATGGGGTTGTTTTTTTGTGCAATAGAGAATGCTGGAATCCTTTTTGAAAATGAATAATATTTTTTTTTCGTTTCATTTTATATTTTTATTAATATTTAATGAGTTTTGAATATTGTCCTTCTTGTCACATGATTGATATAGAATTAACCCGAATGATACAAGGGTCATATTTTCCTGTATATTGAGTAAATTGGTTTTAAAAAAAATTTTTATTTAAAAATAAATTTTAATAGTTAAAATGTGAAAAAATTATATTTTTTTGACGACTTCTTCTCTAAAAAAATTTAAATTATCACTGCAAAAGAAATTTTTATAATGTGTTAATATAAATGCATTAATAACGATAAAAGATTATAAATTTATTTAAAAAAATAACTATTTGAATTTAGATAATGTGTTGGATTAAGTGTCTTATTATTCTTTATGCAATATTTTAGAACAGTAAGCAAGAATTTCATATTTAATTAACTATTATATAAATTAAATACTTAAAAAAATGCTATGAATTCTAAATGTTTGAAATAATATTCAGTTCATTTTTTCTAGTAGAGTGTTTTGTAAATACTTTTGAAAAATCTTTAAAAGTTTAAAAATGATTTACTAGGCTCTAATCTATTGTTCTCTAAAAAGGAAAAGCTATAAAAAAACGCGTGAAAAGAATAGTGTTAATGTTTTTTCCTTCTTTCTTTTAAGGCTAAGAAAAAAAAAATTTGAAAGTCTTACGATTTCAATTGTAACCCATAGTTTTGTAGGTGTAAAAACATGTTCCTCATTATTTTTTATACTGTTTGAGAAGAACTTTGTCAATTATTTTCATTCATGAATCATTATAGTTTGACTTTAGAAATATTCTTGGAATCTATAGTTACTCTTGATAAAAAAAAGTTTTCACAGCTGATATATTTAGGAATCTTTCAAATGATATCATAGATTACTGTAAGCATAATTGGATTATACAGAGAGTAGCAAATTTTGGAAGTTTGAAGTATATGATAAATAAGAATTATTCAGAATAAAACTGTTAAAAAATTCTTATTTAAAAAAATGTATCTGTGCTTGTCAGGAAAACATTATGACATCTTAAACAGCAAAGACCAGACTTAAAAGGGATTGAAAATAAAATATTTCGCTTTGATTCTTACTTATTCCATGATATACAGAGAATTAACTTTCCTATTTAATAATTTCTCCTCTTGCTTAATTGTTAACTATAAAATACGCTTAAGTAGATACTTTAGATAGCAAAACTTTGATGCCTTAACACCAAAATTTAATAAACAGCATAACTAATTGCATGTACGATAAGAATTTTTCTGTTTTTTTTTTAAACGGCTCTGCCTAATGTAAAAATGTACCACAAATCAACTTTATGTTCCAAAATAATTTTTATCAAGTCAAAATAGAAAAAATAATTCTTAGAAGCTATTTTTTGTTAAAGAAATAACTCTTATCTTTATTTTTACAAGCGGTAAATTTATAAAAGCTTTATTTGCTGTTGTTTTAATTCTTAGAAAAAGTACATACTTTAAAACTGAGTAATGATTTGTGTTGTTTTAACTTTACAGTGCCTAATTTTTATTTTCCGTTATTTTATTTTTGCTTCAAATCAAATTTAGTTAATTTTATTGTAAGTAAAATTTTATCTCTGCATTTTCAGAAATCTCTAAAAAACATTTTTCATGTTTTGATAAGATTAATTTTCTATATCTAGCATTGTCATTTAAACTATATACTTTGTAAGAAAATTCTTTTTAAATGCAATATTGTCTAGTATTTAGATATTTTTTATTCTCTTTATGGGAAATAATTTAGTTTTGATTTTTTTAAGTAAATTGTACAAAAATCTAACTACATAAAATTTCTTAGCTTCTAGTAGGGATTTACATATCCTCCTTTTATTTTCTAAAATTACACTTTTCCTTAGATGCTATAACATGAACAATATGAACTTCATACGTTGAGTCTTATGTTTTAATACTTCTAAACTGCCTTGACCAATTAAAAAACATTTTGACTCAAAATAAATAGCATAAAATTATACCTGGCTCCATCAGATACAATTACGGATGTAATAATTTTCTATTAATATAACTTGATATTTTTCGTGTTCTGTATAATACACTCTATAACAAAAAAATCGACGCACCAAGAACGCACTAAGACGCGCAAAATCGATGCTCGATCAGGCTGGAATGATGCCGACTGGGGACGGATAGTCTTTGATGACGAATCCCGCTTCCAACTGTGTCCTGATGATAATCGAAGACGTGTTTGGAGACGCACAGGGCAGAGGGGGGATCCTGCCTTCACTATTACACGCCACACCGGCCCTCAACAAGGCATTATGGTCTGGGGTGCCATTTCCTTTGACAGCCGGACCCCTTTTGTCGTCATTAATAGTACACTTACTGCACAGCGGTACGTCGACGACATCCTATGACCTTTTTTGCTACCGTTCCTCTTGCAGCGCCTTGGGCTGGTTTTTTAGCAGGCAATACCAGACCACATACGGCAAGTGTTGCTATGAACTGTCTGCAATCTTGTCAAACTCTTCCTCGGCCTGCCAGATCACAAGATCTCTCTCCCATCGAGCATGTCTGGGACATGATGGGAAGGCGATTGCATCTGGCACGGAATGTTGATGACCTCGTTCGACAATTGGATCGAATTTGGCAGGAAATACCGCACGAGACCATCCGGGAGCCTTATCGGTCTATGCCACGCCGTGTGGCAGTTTGTATCCAGGCTAGAGGCGCGTCAACACCTTATTGAACTTGTTACTGTAACTCTGCAATAAATTATTCAATTGTTCTCAAATTTTAATCGTTTACTATTCTATACATTGTCTTCCTATCCACCGATTTTCGTTTTAATCGGACAACTCCTTCTTGGTGCGTCGATTTTTTTGTTACAGAGTGTAATTAAAAATTTAACAACACTTCTCAAAAGTCAATTGTCTAAAGCTTAATAAAGTAAGAATCTTTTAATACTTAAAATCTTGAAATAAGAAGCAAGTTGTGACTGCACCTAAAATGAGTTAAAAGTTGAAGCATCTTGAATAAAATTAAGATAACTATCAGAATTAAGTTAACTCTACTAGAATTAAGATTAAATTGAATTATAAAGTCAGTTTTATGAATAGTTTATTTCTTCATTAAAAGCGAAATCAAGAAAAAATTCTTTCAAAAAAAAATGAAATTTTAAAGCACTAAATTAAAAGTTCGAAGCAGATGTCTTCATTTTATTCGCTTTTTTTTATTACAATTCTGATTTTCATGTACTTTTTCTTAATGCTTCATTTCAAAGATTTCACTTTCATTTCAAAAATGTCTTTTTGCAAAAGTTTTTATTTTAAATTAATGCCTCACATAATTCCTTGTTAAAAATGAGTTTTAAATTTTTACTATA